AGTTCCATATACCATATGTTTGTGATATGTCGGATTACTAACATAGTAGCATACTTGAACCACTTAAATCCCAGAACTAGCTGAAAAGTTCATAGAATTCACCTCATTTCTATGTGATTAACTTCAAAGGTAAAACCTATGCTGACCACAACCCACCCACCCCCACCCCCACAAAAAAAAACCCAACCCCAAGAAAAGAAATGGGAAAAAAAAGAAAGGAAAAACAGCCCTCCAAACCCTCCATCTGAAATCGAAGCAGCTACTGGAAGTGATTAGCCAATGGCTTGGCTGAAGCAGCCATCTACAATATAATTGGTCTTGTTTCAGTTAAGCTCAAGACAACTTTCCTAATAGAGGGGGGCAGTAAACAAATCCCTCATTAACGAGTACCTCATTCTGGAGAAGGCCATTTCAACCAAACCAAGACCTGATTTGTACTTATCCAACCGGTAACAAATCAAGGAAAGAGGGACTCACCTTTTTTATGCATAGAGAATCATAAAGACATCAAGTCAATTGCAACGACATGGTTAATGGAGACTCGTGGATCCCTCTAGCAAGCCTTTTTAGGACCCTAATTATGCTACGTGATAGCTAGCCAGCAGCAATTTCCACTATCAGTCAGGAACACCGAGATGGCCAAACCTTTGTATATGTGCAAATACAAGGATACTTAGAGAAACAAGCATGCCCTTCATTACAAATTTTCCAGGCATTTGTACCTTCCACATCAGTTCATAAAAGTACGTGTACGGTATGATAAAGCAGTCATTTTCTGCACTGAGACCACATAAACATGTGCGACTTAATACCTTGGTTTGCAACAGATAATCTCAGAAGACTGAGACATGGAATAGGGCATAAACTATTGAAAATACAAGAATATATGCACTTAATGAAGTACTTGAGAATGAATGAACATAATGAACGAACAAAAAGATGCATTCCTGAAAAAAAGACTATACCGTTGCATAAGGGAAACATCAGTCGTAGGAACATCTAGAATTGGATTAGCAGAAAATGATCCTCTGTCTATATCTGCAAAAGGATAAATTTATGAACTCAATAAATTATGCTTTGAGCTTCGTACATACATCAGTGCACTGACGCACATGTATGACAAAGGTTACCTAAGCTTCCAATGAAAGGGTGTAGTTTCATACACAAAATAGCTTACCAACTTTATTGGATTCAAGCCTTTCATCGCCACAACTCCACCCAATGCCAAACCTATTTTACAAAAAGTTAACATATAAAGTTAGAAACTTGTCCAAAAATAACCATGAATCAACATAAACAATCTTGTATGATGACAACTA